CGAATTATTCGTTTTGTTTGAAATATTCGAACTATTTGTTTTATTTGAATTATTCATTTTATTTGAATTATTATTATTCATTTATTTGTTTTATTTAAGTTATCATTGAATTATTTGTTTTATTTGTTTATTTGATAATTTGAATTATTTGTTTATTTGTCTTTTGAATTATCAAATTATCAAATTATTCATTATTTATTTTATTTGAATAAACTTCCAATGTAATTCAAATACTCAAATTCATAACAAGTAAAAACAAATAATTCAAATAAACCCTTATTCAAATAGAAACCCTAATCAAGCAGTATAGTTGTATATAGTTTTCCAGATTTGGTGGCTCCAATAACTCTGATTGCATGCTTGCAATATTTTATTACAGTTTTACGACTTTAGGGTTCAGGTAAAAATTTTAATTTTTTTTTTAGGTAAATCTAATATATTTTTTGTGATACTAATACATATTTGTGGCTGAAAAAAAAAAATTTTTAAAAAAAATTTTTTTTTGACAAATTATACAAAAAAAACCACAATGGAAAACATTTTGGATGAAAATAAACATCATGACAATACTTCTACTGACAAAAATGATGAATATTCTGATAAAAGAGAGAAATGTCCAACCTGCAATAGATATAATACTAATGAGGCATGGTGTCAAACATGTGATCCAAAGCTATTAACTGAAGAATGTACTAGTGACAATAAAACATTAGATGAATTGATTAAAAGTACACAACTTAAAGCAACCAGTATAATAATTATCATTACCTTCAATTGATTCCTTATAATGATTTAACAAATATTAAAAAGATAGGTGAAGGTATTTTGCAACTATATCCAAAGCTACTTGGTTAAATGGTCATAAGTATACTGATGGAAATAAAAGAATTGGCAGATATATGACTATAATACTAAAAAAACTACATAGTTCACAGAATATTTCTGATGAATTTCTTAATGAGGTAAATTATCTTGTTAATATTAGTTTCAGGTTTTTTTAAATATTATTGATTATTATTGTTCTAATTAAATATTTTATTTGTTGTTTTAGTTCAAAAATTATATAAAGTTTCATAATAAAGGTGATATAATTCATATTTATGGATTAACAAGATTCAATTACAAAAGAATATATATTTGTAATGGTATATATAGAAGGTGGAAGTCTTCAAAATTATTTAAAAAAAGATTTTAAAAACTTAAATGGTATAGCAAAATTAATATTCTTAAACAAATTATTAATGGTTTAAAAGATATTCATGAAAAAGAAATTATTCATCATGATTTTCATAGTGATAATATTCTTCAATCTAAAGAAAATATATATATTATATTGCAGACTTAGGATTATCATGCACATCTGGCCAAACATTATTATCAGACAAAAATGATATATGTGGAGTACTACCATATATTACACCAGAAGTTTTAAAAGAGAAACCATATACAATGGCATTAGATGTATACAGTTTTGGAATTCTAATGTCTCTAATATCAACTGGCCAACAACCATTTAATAATTTGGCACATGATGTAGATCTTGCAATGAAAATATGTGGAGGTGTAAGACCAAGATTCTAAACAGATTGATTTAGCTATGCCAGATTCTAAACAAATTGAATTAACTGTACCAGATGAATTACTCAAATAATTTAAATCTTGTCATTTTATTACATACAGTATTAAATTATTTATTAATATTTTTAATTATCTGGCTACTATAGTTGTGGTATTAAATATAAAATTATTTAAATAATGATATTATATAAAGGTAATGATTTCTCACATCTTTTATTTTTGTTATTTTGGAAATTTGGATGTTGAATATTGTGAGGTCGAAATCTGCATCTCACACAAATCTCTTGATTTAGTTAAAAATAGTGTTTTATTTAGTTTATATAGCTGTGGCCAAATGTCTTCTTGATGGTTTAATTCTCAATTGTAATTGCATTTCTTCTTTGTATGGCATTAATAGCGCTTAGTCTATTAATCTGTTGTAGGGGCAAGTTTTACTTCCCTGCCTGGTAACATTTTCTCGGCAATTCTTTGTTATCTGCCTGAGCTGGCACATCCCACATAAGGTTTCCAGTCCAAACTGTTGTCTCAAAGCCCAAACTAGTTTGGGCAATTTGGGCTTCTCAGCATTTTTTATAAACATAAACACTAAAAAACTATACCAATCAACTTATTTTAACTTAGAATAACTTTAAAGTAATTTCACCAAATTTTGGCTAATAACAAAAAATAGTTTGGGCATATAAAAAAGTAATTTTTGCCCAAAGTGTTTCAGGAATTTCAGCTACTAATAAAGAGAGTTTCTGCTGGAAACCTTAGTCTGAAATCAAAATTATTCAACACCAAAGATGAAAGAGGTAAGGTGATTGTCCAGTGAGTGTCATCCATTCTTTATGTTTTGCTAGACACATAGTGTGCCTTTTCTTTAACAACTTGTGATGAAGGTTGCAGCAAGATCAGAACAAGACTTGCTAAGATGTTTTACCACATACTGAGAAAGATTCTCCCTAAGATGAAGCAATAAATCCACTTAAAAATAGCTACCTAAAAAAATAGAACATTATTTCAGAGGCATATGCAACAATCTTAAGTTGAGCTTGAGAATCAAGATCTATGTTTCATCAGCTGACATCATTTGAAAAATGATTGATGGAAAATATACCTGCTTCTTTTTGACAGTTTGGAAAGTCCTTCAAATCATTAGTCTAAAAAAAAGAATATCTGTTGATATTCCCTACTTATGTTGCTGTCCAAAACATTGGTGAAAAGACCATACACTCATCTTTGAAAGTGAAGGAAGATACAAAGAAACATTGATTTTTTCAATCAGACTGAGCTACAAAAATCAATGCCATTATAATAAATGAAATATCTATGGTGGGCAATGATCTGCTCATTTTCATTAGCAATACATTCTCCTAGGTTCACAATAATAACTGCATATCAACTATACATGAAGTCGAAATTAAAACCCCAAAGTAGTGTTCCATGTCGCAATCCAAAAATGGTTGTAAAGGTGGTTGCAACCAGCAGTTGCAATCATTTTTATATGATGCAAAGATGGTAGCAACCATCATCAAAAGTTATAGCCAGTATCCTTACCCCCAAAGTCAAAATATTTTGACTTAATGCAACTACATATATAGTAAAAACCCGTTTTGACCTTATTTTGACCCTATTTTGACCAGATCTGCAAATGGCCAAAATAGTTTCAACTTCATGTATAATATCAACCAATTTTTTCATTTCTAGAATTTTCAATATCAGAATCACTATGTTAAAAAAAAATTTTATAAGAACCTAATTTTTATTTTTATTAAATAATTTTTTGCGATTATTTTCTGAAATCATTTATTGAAGCATCATTATTTTTCTCAAGTTGTATTTCTCCTATATAGACTTTTTGTAATTGAATTTTTATCATTATAAAAAAAACCATTTCCTGAATATCTTGTTATTATTAGTAATGATCAGTGAGGTAATAATCATGTATTTTTTCGCAAAAATCATCTGCAAATCACCAAATAAATTTCTAAATAAGGATAACATGTACCCAATCCACCAATAAAATTGGATATTTTCATGATGCTGCGCAAATTTGCAGATGTTTTTGCGGAAAAATACATGAATTTAGCAGAGTGCATATCTCACAATAAATAAAATTTAAAGTTCATCTTCATTTTGTTAGAGTTTCTATTCATAAATTTGTAATCAAATTCTTATTTGAATTATTTACAATACATTACTCAATCTAATTCAAATTATTCGTTTTATTTGAATTATTTGAATTATTCATTTATTTTGAATTATTCATTTTATTATTCATTTTTATTTCGAATCATTCATTTTATTTGTTTATATTTCGAATTATTCATGTATTCAAGTAGAAACCCTAGTTCTGGTCAAGTGCAAGGTTTTCTTTCCAGCTGCATGTGTACTATTATTGCAGGCAAGTTCTGGTCAAGTGTCTCAGTTTTCTTTCCAGCTTTGTATGCTCTAAAAAAAATAGAAATATACTACTTGAGGCATCAATATAAACAATATAGTAAAATCAAAAGGGTTCCTAACTAATAATTAAAGGTTGGACAAACCATTAATCATCAGAAAGGATTATGTTTATTAACCAATTACAGTTTTTAAGTGTATTTATACTTATTAAAGTATTACAAACAACATGGCTTTTTACATGACTTTGTCCAATAAATATAATAAATAGAATGATTATAATGAATTATTAATAGTAATACTAATGTTAAATGCCGAAATGCATCATTTATGATATCAGGATATAAAATAAATTGATTGACAACAATTGGAATCATTTCAAATGTATTGAGTAAGATCTAATTTCATATCTGTTTTTCATAACTGAAAATAAAAAAATAAAAGCGAACTTGTATAATTGATGATAAAATAAAAATGAAAACACAAAGAAGTGGCTTACCTTAAACTATATGCATTATCATTTGACTCATTTTGGTTTTTTTTGGCCTATTCGTGATATGTCAAAGACATAGTTAAATAATAAAAAATGACAAGTTTAACAACTTGATGGGTAAAATTTATTGGTTTATTTTTAAGACTTGTTGTAATATCTCCACAGAATGAAATCATCCTCAAAAAACGTATCATCATTTGCTACTTGTTGCTACCAACGTTATTGCTTAATGTTTCTATAATAATAATGCTTTCACGTAACAACTACTGATTGATGGATTGATTGCGCTCTTTATATATTAATATGAGCTTTTTCCGTCTTCTTTAAACATTAAAAACATTAAATAAAAGTTAGCAAAAGTCACTATATATCACGTGACTTGCATTTAAACAAATTTACCTGAAATTTTTTGATTGGGCAAGAAATCGCGTGTTGCGGTTTGCGTAACAGGAGGGAACGTCCTATATAAGGAATGGATTTTCACAATTGATTTCAATTTTTTTTATACAGTTTAAAATAC